ATACTACGACGCCCTAAACTGATGTGCTTAATGTCCGTCACCTGAGAGGCATCATCACTAACAGTGGCGGAGCGTGACCCTTAACTAGGAGTAGGGGTGCCAAAATCTTAGGATGTTATAATTGCCAAAGCCCAATGAATATACTAAAATGAGCAAATAAAGAAATTATCTAGGCCTTCCATCAATTCCAAATTATAAGACGTTTTGGCTTTTTCTGATACTTACCTTTTTTTTACATATCTAAAAAGTCAAAACGTCTTATAATTTAGAACGGAGGGAGTACTTTTGTAATACAAGGTCAGATCCACACTTGTACTCACACGCATGTGTATACATACGTACCCATGTGGTTTTGTTATGCACACGTGTAAACCAGCATAGGCACAAGCTTTGGCCAATGAACTGGCTCCTTTTATCTACGGAATCCCTACATTAAAAAATGCATGCACTATTTTGTTTGGGAAAGAATCCAACAATAATTATGCGGCACACTTCCCATTCAATTTTTTGGAGGTCGATATGGCATCACACTTGAGAACGCGTCGAGGCTACCTCTAGTTTGAGTTCAGTTATTGATGAACATAGGGACATGTGGATAACTTTGTTTTGCAGGTTAATGATAGAGTTAGTCATATTGAGGCCACTTGGTTTTCCTGGCCCCCGGTAATTGGATTCGACATATATATAGCACAAGGAGATTTGTGAAGGCTAAGGACACAATGTCTACGTGCATTATTGGTGTTGGGGGCACTTAGACTTAGTGTTAGGGATTTTGTTTGTCTTTTCCCGTACTATTAACGGGGTCGAGATTAGTAGCTTGTTCGAAGTAAGAGTCAAGAGGATTTTGATGCACACATGAGAGTTACTCCGAGCAAAGTTGATCAAGATTGGCTGAAACAGATAGAGAATGAGTCTAGGGTCTTAAAGAAGTTGAATTTGATATTATCGACGTAGCTAGAATTCAAATTTTTAGTGCATCAGAGCAGATAAAGGACACTAGATCATTCGGTGACACTGTGATGTACTATGTGGACCGACAGAAGATCCGGTGACACTGTTGTGAAGAGATCAAGATCGACATGCTTTATGGAGTGCGTTGTATGATCTCGTGGCATGTTAGTGGGCCCAATGGATCATATCTGGTGTTATTGCGCAACGACTAGTTCATGTTGTGCACATTTACTGGTGTGCACCATAGTTGTATGCTCCTTGTGTACCTTAGTCATTGCGGCGTATCATCCGATGAGGAACATTCAAACATCTTCAACGGTTACTATTGGAAAAGTAAGCAAGAAGAACATGGCCATCGGACGACTCGATGCCCTTTAGTGTAGCATGATGAATCATTTGGTGATGGTTTTCTCAGCAGTATTTTTTCAACAGCTAGGACCTCACACATGGCCTATATGTTCGCATGCGCACGCGTGCGTTCCCCAGCTCATTTGGAGCTCTCTTTGGCCCATATAGTTGCACACATATTAGAAGGTTTTGTGAAGGACTTGAGGGAAGTTCAAGTCAAGAGGAGTGCTAGTCAGTGACTTAGTGTCCACCTTTATTTGATATTGTGCAGTTGTTTTTTTACTAAAAATTGTGGTGCAAAAGCTCCCGAACACTTTATTAAGACCAACAGAAGGAAGATCATAGGAGCTAGCCAAATGCTAACTAGAGACTACTTACCTAGCTAGATAACTATACAACAGGGTACAAGGCCAAGAAGGGAGATACGCAAAATCACAATTGGTTGAGCCAATTCATAATTGAAGGATGAAAATCCATATTGATTGGTACAAGTGGAGCTTAATTTCATTTTTGAACATATGCTTCTAGGAGGCCACTGAAGGAATTTTACCATTGAAAATAAGTGCATTTCTTTCATTATGGATGCACCAAGTTGCTATCATGAAGATTTCCATAAAGAATGGGAGTTGTGAAGAGACTTGTTCTCACGCAAGACAAGCATTTGAAATACACTACCTTGGTTGACCAAAGAAAGTTGACCATCTAGTTATACTTGAGGTACACTCAAAGAACATGTGTTGCACAGTTTCTTCAATACCATCCTGGCATAGAACAAAATCATAACCTTCCTTAAGATGATTCTTTTGCCTCCTTGATATATTCCTGGTGTTGAGTCTATCATTGAGAAGAAGCCAAGTGAAAAACTTGATCTTGGGAACACAGCTTGGACTTCCACAACCATTTAATGGGCGCCGATGGAGATAGAGAAATGAATGTCCTGCATATAACTTGGATGAGGTATATTGAGCACCCCATATAAAAACCTGTGAATCATCTTGACTAGTATAGGCACTCTTGGTTGATAAGAACCAACTTAGATATAGAAATGCATTGTAAGCAGCTCTGGACATGGGTAATCTGAAGAGGTCTAGCAAATTCAAGTACTAAAGTCCCCCTTGCAAAGACAGGTTTGCATTCTTGACATATAGTAAAAGATATTTGCAAACTCTGAAGAGATGGGTTGATCCAAGAATCAATCCTCCCATAAACCATTCGTATCACCTTTGCCTAGGGTACAAATGTGCAATGCCTCAAAATAAAATATTCAGTTTCAGCACATCTCTGTGGCAGAACCGTCCGAAATAACACACCTTTGGAGGCGCTCGTCTTCCACCAGACACTAAGCACCCCGAAAGCAAGCTATATCGGGCGGTTCCGTCGAGTATACCCCAAGGGAGAACTCGAACAATCCACGTTTTTCCTCCGGGATCCAATAATGAGAACGAGTTTACAATACTTAGTCCATTTCATACATCAAGAGTTCTCATAAATACATTATTACAATACCAAGTTCAGAGTGCGGAATTTAAACAACGGAATTGCAATAAACATCTAGTGATAAGATACAAGGATCCGTCTGGGCCCACCAGAAGAATCCTCCACACAACCGTCACTCCTCAAGCTGCACCTGCAACAGAGGTAAATAAACCCTGAGTACACAATGTACTCGTAAGACTTACCCGACTAGTGGAAATAATTTCCCGACTCCAAAGGATATGATAACCTTTATGGTTTGCGGGGTTTCCTTTTTGCGGAAAGCCTTACTAGTAGTGAATCCTTATGGATGTTCTTATTAGCAGTCATGATTAGTTCATTTATCTAGCCATTCTATGTAAGCACCTGTTCTACTTTCAAGCAAGAGTTGAGCAATCAGATCCATTTCACCATCTTTCATCTTCCAGTTCCTACTACAGTGCTAGATCATAGACAAGTCGTACCGTATTACATGGTGATTCATGAATCAATATATCCCAGCTGGGTACCCCAAAACACATGCCCCGCTTGTACCCCAGGCACAAGTAGGACCAACTCACCACTCTCCTGTCAAGGGGTCCAGGTCCCCGTCCAAACTTGGACTCCAAGCCTCCACTCCTGAGTCCTGGACTCAGTGTGGTGCTTAGACCTACACCATCCCCGCCTCTAATTAGTCGGTCCAAAAAGAGCCGAAACCCACGATAAGAGAGCAATGAGTCTTCCCTGCTCCCATAAACAAGTATTTGCTCAGGATAATACACTACTGGAATCTCGCTTTTTTATGTGTGTGCGAAAACACACAGAAAAATGTGAATACCGTCAGAAAAATATTTTTCTGATGGTGTACCCTCAGAAAAATACACACAGAAATATAATGACAGAAAAATCAAATTTTTCTGTGGGTTCACCATCAGAAACAATTTTTCTGTGGGTCTCACTCGCACAGAAAAATTGTGTTCGCCCAGATTAAAACTAATTTTTCTGTGTGTTAATCCACATAGAAATAAACCGCACAGAAAAACACGTTTTTTCTGTCGGTCTAGGCGAACTCACAGAAAAATTCATTTCTCCCAGATTAAAAAAAAATATTTCTGTGTAGCCAGCTTCACAGGAAAAAAGAGTTGAACACACAAAAAATTATTTTAAAACAACATCAACAGCATATTAAAATATATATTTTCCATACAGTACTTTCTGTGCTGGACCAATAAGGTTTCATTCAAATAATACACAAATCAGTAGTTCATAATGAATGGAGTCAACACTTATGTCAAAAATAGACGACGATGGGCTGCCTCCGCCTGCCCGCTGCCTGCCTGAGCCTGAGCCTAACCTCGGGGACAGGAGAAGGCCACCGGAGCTCTGCATTGCCAGCAGCAGCCCAGTCACAAGAAGCACGCACAATGTATTCTCGAGTTCATTCAGGCTCAGCGTGATGTGATTTACCTCGGTCTAGGACTCCGTCAGAGCGGGACGACGGCTTCCGTCAGTGCTCCGACTGCTCATCATGCCGAGAACCTTCAATCAAAGACAGGCAATACAAATCAAAGCAGATTTAGAGGATGGTAAGCCAGAACAGCATGGAAAAAGGGTAACAAGCATCTAAATTAGGCACAAGCCTGATAATTTAGGATTAAAAAGAAAAAACCAATACAGTTTGGAAATTGGCGGTGATGAATAATTATATACCTAAACAAAAGAATGTGCTATGCATTACTTCAAATGTATTAACTAGTTGCACAATACTATAGCTAATGCATCTTTTCTGTTTAGTAAGTGAAAATAAAAGAAATGCTTGAAAATTAAAGTACAAAAATGGAAGGTTAAGATAATTATAAAGCATATTACGTTATGATTCACTATCTTATTTGATACCTCCTGCCGAAACATAATAAAAGAAACACGAGTCATAATCTAGTAGATTTATTGATCAATTCAACAGTTCATCCTAAATATATAAAAGGACAATTTTCCTTAGCATACAGGTGATGAACCGTCAATAACTCAAAGAATAGAATGCATTTTAATCCTATAAAGAATGTCATTGTACAAATAACCTCTCTCTGCAGTGGTAGTAACTTGGCAGCTAACTTCCGGATGTCAAACCGCAAACCTAAGTACAGCAGCATGAACACTAGACTGCATATGAACTTATGGATTCTTTTCACATATGAACTTACCGATTCTTTTCAAATATGAACTTATGGATACAGTTTTCATAATCTGAGTCAAGTATCAATGTCAAAGCTTGGATTTGCAGGGTTACCTAAGTTCCTATTTACACACTGAAAATTCACTAACAGAACACTAGCAATATACTAGTAAAGATCTTTTACCCTTCCTCGCAAACGCTATGATATGCTCAAGGCCTCAAGTATTTGACGCAATTCATTATTTAATTACAGATTACCTTCAACTTTTCTACTATAAAAACATTGTGCATCTTTAAACAAAGGGATTAAGATAAAACTTACACCAAGAAGGGTGACCAAAATGCGAGCACCACTGCACCCAAGAGGATGCCCTAAAGATACAGCTCCTCCATGAACGTTAATCTTTTCCTGCAACCACATGCGTTGTTAGTACCGAACTTTATTATCATGCTATTAAATGCTGCTGTTGCCTATAGCAAACTACTACTACAAAAGAATCAAGGTGCATTTTCTGAAAATGACATTTTAGCCTTTTAAATTCACACACAAGAAATGTTATTATCATGCTATTAAATCCTGCAGCTGCATAGCAAACTACAAAAAACAATTATTCAGTGAAAGAAACTCTCAGTAGTCAGCACGTACCGAAAATGCTTCATTAATCTCATAAAAATCAACATGGGATGACTCTAATCCAGCATTTGCCATAGCCTTTGGTTTCGCAAGTGCTGGGGTGGTTGTAAAGAGTTCCGGAGCCTGTATAAACAACATTCATGGTTACAAAATAAAATTCCAGAATACAATTTTAATAGTTGAGAAACTTTTATGTATAAAATAGTAACATAAAACTGTCCGAGAAAATAAACTCCCAATATCCTTGAACATTTAGATCACAATGTAAATATCAAGACAAAACATACTCTACTCTCAAGTGAGATAACTGTTACTGTAGCTTACTTGAGCTGCATCTGCATATCCTCTGATCCTTGCAAGGACTTGCAGGCCAAGCTCTTGAGCCTTCTGCCCACTCACCAAAACTAATGCAGCGGCCCCATCACTGATCCATATAAAAGCAAATTAGATATGATCGATTGTAGCTACACAAGCGGATAATAGGCAGTACACAATGGACAGTACCAGTCAATGGAAAAAATAGCAAGTGCAAAGTGAGATCAAAGAATTTTGAAGACAATCAAGAAGAAATTATACACATAGACTGATTTTCCTTTGAATAGGCATAAGACATTACAAACACTTCTTTACTTTCTTATGTGATAATAAATCATTTACAAGAAGAAAAGTTACAATATATTTAACAAATTAGAGCATGCCAAGCCCCTAAAACATAATAGGAGTGCCAATTCATAAGAACAAACACAAGTCAAATATGGTATGCACATGACAGCAACAAAAATAACAAAATGCAAGCATAATGTAAAGAAAGAAGTTAACTATCATCATAGCTAATCACAAGAATTATAATACAACTGAAGATAAACTTAAAAGGACTAAATAACAATAGCGTGTCGAGAAGTTACCTTATACTAGAAGCATTTCCAGCTGTAACGGTACCACCATTCTCCTTGAAACTTGGGCGAAGTTTCTTCAGTTTTGCTGGGTCACACAAGAAATTGCACGGCATAAGTGAAACAATCATCTGCACATGTCCCCATGTAAGGAGGACTGTTGCACCGTAGGAAGAATAATGAATCAAAGGGCACGCCAGTCTTATGTCTTTGCTGCATGAGAAAATTTACCTTATCCAGGCTTTCATCTTTCTCAATAAGTACAGGTGGTTTTCCTCTCCCAACGGGAACTTCAATCTGGTTGACAAAACATTGAACATAATATGGAAACCAAACAAAGCATATACTGTAATTTCAAGTCCTAGCAAAGTGAAAGAAAATCACCGGAACAATCTCCCATACAAAAGCACTGCTGTCACGAGCAGCAATTCCACACTCATTGCTTTGGATAGCAAAAGCATCCTACGAGCAAACAAGTAAAATCAATACACCAAAATGGCAAATATATTGCAATCGCAACATATACAAAATACATATCATCATATATGGGAAGATATTCCCAGCAATCGACAGGAATGTAGGGCCGCCCATGAGCGCCCCAAGGCCCACGCCGCCCGAGAAGGAGGGGCGCAGGATCCGGGAGAGGGCGTCGGATCCGGCGAGGGGGCGCCAGGAAGGAGGGGGCCGGGGGGAAAGGAGGGGGCGCCGGATCCGCGTCGCCACGCCGGGAAAGGAGGGGGCGGATCCGGGAGAGGCGCTCCGGATCCGGCGAGGGGGGACGGGCGGATCCGGGAAGAGGGGGGGCAGGCCATTGGGGAAGGAGGGGCCGTCGGGCAAAGGAGGGGCCACCGGGAAGGAGGGGCACCAAGGGGGAGGGGCGCTGGGGCGGGAGGAGAGGGGCGCCCGGGGGGGGCGCTGGGGCCGGGAGGAGAGGGGAAGAGGGGCCGCTGGCGGGTGTTTGGGGGCGGCGGCTCTCGGGTTAGGGTTAGCGCTTTTTGATTTTTTTATTTATTTTATTAATAACATTTTTCTGTGTGTGCATATATTTTTTTTGAGTTTTTATTTTTCGTGTGTCTATTGTCACGCACAGAAAAATGTTATAATTATTCTATGGGTTTTCGTATTTTTCTGTCGGGATATTTTGGAACCCACAGAATAATCATAATTTTTCTGTGCGTACCGAAAAAAACGCACAGAAAAATTCGTCACCCACAGAAATATTCGAGTTTCCAGTAGTGATAAGTCTGTGACCTGACTAGAATCCAATGCACCGGTCGGTCCTTAACCGACACGGACAGGGAAAACAGTGTAACCAAGCTATGCCCCCGTTGGCCACGGGACACAACCTGTAACAACCCGGTTTTTTTTTGGAGAAGTCAAAAATACGAACTTTTTAAATTTTTCCTGCAATATGTGAAGCATGTAGATGCTAGGTCGAACTAAGAAACAATTTATAAATAAATTGTTGCATACATATAGAATTACTTGTAGGAGTTTGCCGGAGTTCTTTTGTTGGTTTATTGTTTTGTGTTGGAGAGCACAAATCCATAGTAAATCCTTTTGATCCCTTCTAAAATATCTTATGAATCCCTTTTTCTCTCTCTCAATTCATCTTTTGCTTTTGAACCTCATTCGAATCCCTTGATCTAATTCATAAAGTCAATTGACCTTCCTTGTAAATCAATGCACGTGAGTTGTCAACCCATGGCATAGAGTAGGATAGAAATAAGGAATAGAAAAGGACATGAAATAGGAGAATGAAATAGAAAAGCCTTTCGGCCCAAGATGAAGCACCAGCCCAACCAGGCCATCCCCTCCCCCTTTATCCACTGCGCGGCCCGCTCACCTCCACCTCACCTCGGCCCACGCGGGCAGCAGCAGCAGCCCAACCGAGCCCCCCTCTCCTTGCCCCATCGACCCGTCTCGCACCCCGTAGGCCTAGCTCGCTAGCCACAAGAGCCCACCAAAGGTTTTGGCCTAGCTCGCCAAAGCACTGGCGCCTTGCCAACCCTAGATGCGAGTAGATGCTCCCAGGCGCCGCCGCCGCTCGGGTGGCAAAGCACGCGCCCGTGCCTCACCTGCTCCGCTCCTCGATGTGCACCGCGTACCCCTTCCCTGCATGGAAGCCGAGGATCGCCGTCCACAATGCCTGGAACCCTAGCCGATGCCGCTATAAAGTGCGGGCAGCACCGGCACCCTCTCCTTCCCCACCGCCACAAGCCTCTCCACTCCTCCCTTCTCCTTCCTGCTTCCAAGAGAGCCATAGCCATGGCGCCGGAGGCCAAAGGCGATGCTGGCTACGGCAGCACCTCTCATGGCGCCCTGCAAAGACCGCCTCCACGATCAAGGCCGCCAAAGATCCCCACGGCGTCCGTCTTCCTCGAGCCGCGCCAACCGCGAGACCACCCCGACGTGCACGGCGACCGCACCAGCCTCGCCATCGACGACCGCAAGACTTCACCGCACCCAAGCCACCGTCGTCCTTCGTCACGACCACCACGACGTCTGCACGGCGACCGTCCCTGACCACCAACCTGTAGCCAAAGCTGCCTCCCTGCCGAGCGATGGAACACCGGTGAGCAACATCCTTGCCAAAGCTCCTGTTTTTCCATTCCCTATCGTCGCCCTCGCCTGAAGATCAGCCTTCACGCCATGTCTGGTTCACCGTAGGAAAGCCACAGCCTCTCCGTGCCAGGACGCGCCGCGCCGCGTCAAGCTCCACCCGGTCGCCCGCTGCCACGCCAGTGGAGGCCGCTAGCTGGCCTCGACCACCCTACGACCTCCACGGCTACTCGCCCTGCTTTGAACCGGCCTCGTCCCATCGACGCCCTCGACGTCTACAACGCCCCTGCACCAAGCACCATGACGTGCCCCTGCTCTAGGCCCGTGACCATGATGACCCGAGCGCCCTGCCTTGCCCCGGCCACCATCTGCACTGCTCCGAGCCCCTGCACCGACGCTCTCTACATCCCCCTGTACCGCGACCCGAACCTCCACCGTAGGCGGCCTCCATAGCACCGCCATCCTAGGACTGTCCGCGCCACCAAGCTTCACCTCACGACGACACCCGAGGCCTCAGAGAACATCGCGCGCGACACCATCACCATGGCCGCGATGTTGACACGATCGCGTCTCGAACTGCACCGCGCGGACGCCCGGCGCCAAGCCCGTCGGTAAGCACCAGACCCCCAAAGCTCTGCCTTTGATTCGTTGCCTTGATGCTTGTCTGTCCGGCCTTCGTACCGCACTGCCCGTGGCACCTGCACTTGCAAACACAGCCACCGGAATAGTGCCTGTTCTAGGCTACTCAGGAACATGACATCCACGTCATGCACACGAGTGCTTGCCTCGCCACCCTCATGGCCATGGCACCGACTGGCACGCGGCACACGACCCGGCGCCACTGCACGCGCCGCCGTAGTCTCCACTCCGACGTGCCAGTACCGGACATAGCCACACCAGCCCGGCGACCTCGCCTACGATGTTGCAATGCGGCACACGATCACAGCCAGCCCCAAAGTTCCGCCTTTATGCGTTCCCTTGTTGCCATCTCTGTTTGCTGGCCGTCGAGCCGTTGACACCGACTCACTGGTCGACCACGGTGCACCACCGTGGTGCCACACCGCTGGACCCACTTGTCAGCAGGTGACGTCATGGTGACGTGACGTCACGTGGGTCCCACCTGTTAGTGACCGTTTACCCTGGACCCACCTGTCAGTGGCCCAAGAGCCCCGGTCCCACCTGTCGGACTGATGACGTCGTGCTGACATCATGATGATGTCAGCAGAACCCCACCTGTCAGCCACTGTTATAGCTGGACCAATCCTACGCTGCCATGTGTCAAGCCCTGGAGTAACCTTCCTTTTTCTTTTTTAAGAAAAGGAGTTAACCTTTGGAAATTCATAGAAAATTCTTACGACCTCAGAAAAATGTGAAACCAATTCCCACATTTTTCTAAAATTGAGCCCTACGATGTGGACCAACCCTTAAGTACTTTTGACCCCTCAAAATTGAAGAGCCCACTCTTTGCTTGCGCTCACACCGTTCGCGCAAGACATGTACGATGCCCTGGAATGCCACCATATGGTTCCAAGCACCCCTCGGCCATGATCTATGACCAAGCCACTGACTCGACGCTCTTAGCCATGCCGCGGCGAAGAGTTACCATGACCTCATCGTGAGCCTCGAAGCCGTAATTGGACCACGTGGCATTGATCACCGCATCATGGACTGCAGGTTTCCTTTCTTTGGTTGCCCTGATGGTTCTGTGGAACCCTGTGTCCGTGTTTCACCACTGTTCCGGCTACCCTGAGTCACGAGAACATGCCGTCGAGATCTACCGGGACCCGCACTAAAGGCCTGTTGAGGTAGTCACATTGCACAACTCACGGACAAAGCCCTGGTATACACCGCATGACCTAGCACCGTTGCCGAGACCACCATTGCCGAGACCACCATTGCAGAGACCACCGTTGCCGAGACCACCGTTGCCTAGACCACCGTTGTTGAGACCACCATTGCCGAGACCACTGTTGCTAAGACCACCGTTGCCAAGACCACCATTGCCAAGACCACCGTTGCTGAGATCACCGTTGCCAAGACCACCATTGCCTTGACCACATGGCCTCGCTGGCCGAGACCACAGGGCCTTGCTGGCCGAGACCACATGGCCTCGCTTGCCGAGACCACCATGACCCCGTCTACTACGAGCCATAACCCTGGACCATGAACCCTAGTCGTAGGTCTTATCGAGACCATGGAAAGCCCCATCTCGCATCTTTCTGTTTACGCATATCTACCTTGTTGGGCCCTAATCTTACGACCTATCTGTCCATGACTGTCTTACAGGATCTCGCATCTTTCTGTTTACGCATATCTACCTTGTTGCTGGTGTTGTTGCCTGTGTGCCGAGCCTTCGAGCCGGCTGAAGGATCGTACCTCATCCGGACGTTACGATCGCGGGATCCGTCTCGCCATGACCGTGATGCCGAGTGTAACTCGACCCGTCGCTTTTTAGTTGACTTCATACTACCACGAGTGTTAGCTCCTGCCTTCGGCCCTAGAACATGGTCGTGTTGGATTCGATGTCGATACTAACATCGATGCAGATATCACCCACACGCCTTGAGCCCTCCATGACCAAGTCCTGTGGGAGATGACCTGGAGATAACAATCGTGGAACGATGGGTGCCAACTCGTTGGTATAGCTTGTGGCCACGAGTTCGCCTCGCCATGACCATGGAGCTACGCCACTCTTTTACTTTTACTTGCCTCTTCGTGCTCAAACCCCCGTATGCTTGTACCTTGTATGACCATCGCATTTCCTTGATTCCCGCGGTGACAACCGCACCGCTATGAATTAGAGAGGTGTCTTAGTGCCAGTGCACCTAAGTCGGGTACCCTATGAGTGGTTTGCGCACTTGTACTCTTTAGTGAGTCGCTCCTTCCAATGCCCTGTCTTCTGTCATGGCGTGTGTGTTGGAAGGAGCAGACCTCCGTTCCTTGCTGTTATTGCCCTATTAGCCGCTCTGTTCGATCCCGCCTTGTCCATGGCGATTGGATCCAAGACCGGACTATCTCTTTTTAGCTAGCGAAGCTATAGTCTATGTCGTACCTCGAACCCGTGCGTGTCGACCCGATCGGCCGTCTAAAACCATCTTTCCCAAAGATGTGTCTGAGAACATGACATGGATGTGCCTAGCTAACCCCTGCTTCTTTTGTTTTGCTGAGCAACTCTCTTCTCGGCTCCCGACGTTATTATGTCGTGAGGATCGAGAGAACTCGTTGTTGTCCAATCTCTTTGCGCTACAGCTTTCTACCGTAGCGGGTGAGCCGAAGTACATTGGAGCCAAGTCACAATAGTGTTATCGTTCTTGTTTGCTACTCGTGTCCAATTGTGACTTGTAGGATAAGGTTATAAGAGCCGAACCCCATCGTTCTTCTTCTTGGGGCCCGACTTCCAATCCCCGTTGATTCAATGACACCGGATCGGAAGATCGTGAGCCATGGTGTGCTATGGATAAGCTTTGGCTTAAACCATCTATCCTAAAGCCATACTGGCTTGGCCATGACTTAAGCTTGTGCTTAGCAAACCACCATTTGTGATTCTTGGCCCGAGGAAATCGGACAACCGCCGAGAGGGCTAAGCCGTGTATCTCTTATTGCCTCACTGGTGTTATTGGATTTTCCTACGTCTTGTCGTCTTTTCAAGTGTCGAGTGCTCTCTTGCCTTGCATGTCGCTTCGCGGAGAAGCGGACGATCGGACCAAGAGAACGTGGACGACGACAAGGACTGCGGAATGGAGTCAACGTAGGAGGAGGTGACCCCGCTAATGGAACACCAACGAATGGAGAATTGTACCACTACTACCTCTACATCGCATGTGTCATGGCAGCACCCTCTTTTAGAGAATCCTATTAGACATTGCATAATATCTAAAACTGCTAGTGCTTTATAAATTATTCCTTTGCTAGTACTTTGATGCATGCTACTACCTGAGCCATTATTACCCTGATGCAACCCACTCTACCACGTCACCCTGCTTTGCACATTCGCTCGCTTATATATGCTTACTTGCCTGCTTGGTTGCATATTACACCACTATACTTATTAATTAACTCCACTTCGCATTATATCGGGGATGTGATGCTAGTGGTGAACCCCCTAGGAATGGTTTGGCTATGGGTGCCGGACTTGGTGGTGTGTGAGCGTGTTGCGTGTGTCTTGGGTGCGTGGAGAGTGAGGGTTGTGTCGACCGAGCTAGAATAACGACAAGCCTGGGGCGAGTCTTGCCATGTGGTGCTACCTGGGCACTTGGATATGGAATACCTGTGGCGGGTAAATGGTAATTGGAGGTGGCCTTAGGTGTGAACCTCGGAGAGGTGGAGCCCGGGGTGGAGGTGCTGTGGTGGCA